CAGCTGATTAAAAAAATGTTTATAGCCTGGTACAAAAGATGTACCATTTTTATTACTCATCCGTTTCATTTTTATTAAGTTATATTAAGTCTGCATAAGGGTGTGGCCACTTGAGTGACAGCTAGGTCTTGCTGCTTACTGTCTCGTCACCTCAGCTGATTCCGGCTAGTTTGCCTCTGAGCTCGGCATATACATCGTATTTTTGTTTTGGTTAATGTTTCTTTACACAATCAATTGCCTTTTGGAATTATTTACTACAATTATCACATGATATGGCATGCTCTGTGCTATGCTTAATTGTGCTCACAAACCGTTCAAGTTGCCTCCATTTCCCAGGCGAGTGAAGTTATATACTTGTATACCATCTCTATAATTGTATTTGTTTTATTTAAGATCATTTATCATTTATATTTTTCTTTAGACCTGTCATCTGAAGCATTGTCATACAGTGTTATGCCTGGATTTCATCAATAGCCTTGCATTTACTTGCACAGACTATATTTGAAGTGTATGGAAGTAATTTGCATTTTCCTCCTGTTGAAAAACGTCATAAGAACAATGTTTAGTGGCTTAATGTATTACAGCAGTGTTTTTAAAAGTCTAAACACTTTATTGATATAGTGTACTGTACAACCAAGCACATGTGATCAGAACACAAACGAGTTGCAGATAATAAAGTATTAAGCGTTCACCCAAAGTAAAGTCTGTCTAAGTTAGGTCCAAGCAAAATGCCAGCAGGTGTCTGTAGCTCCGCTCACTCTCCGCCTCTTTGTCCTTGTTTGGTATCCCGCCATGGGTGGTATGACACGCGAAAAAAATGGCGACGGTTGGCCGCGCCTACTTGTAGCTTCTTTTGCAGTGTTCAGAAACCTATGGGTGACGTCACGTATACTACGTCCATATCTTTTACAGTCTATGGTTTACATGTACATCTGTAATCAAATTATTTGCCTTAATCTGAATAAGACAATCATTTGGTTTGGGTGTTTACATGAGTTGCTTTTTGAATGTTCCTTTAACAATGTTGCTGTTTTATATGTTATTGCACATAATTCGAATAACATCATTGTGTCACCATACTATTCACATTTATTCTGGAGTTTCATGTAATTTTGGATGCTTCATTTTTAATTTGTCGACTTTAACTGCAGTTCGGCACTTTCACTTTCATTCAGAAACATTTCTTGCATGCCCCCCTATGACAAACGAGATATTGGATCAGAGTATGAACTGCAGGAAGAGTATAGTTTTAATGAAATTTGATACAGCACGCCATATGGAAAAAAAACCCTTTACATTTTGTGCTGTCTGTCTGTGGTCCTTACTGATTCGTTAGGTTCAGAAGAATAGTGTCAAACAGCCGTGTGTGTATAGACTATCCTGTCGCAAAATGTATCGAAAATCTTACATGACGGTAATAGTTTTATCAAGGTGTTTACATGTCTGTACTCCACTTCAATAATGCAACTATAGTCAACATACTCCAGATGTCTTAATACCATTTCTGTTTAGTTTGATTAGAACTTTAGTCGGATTAAAGTAATTAAAAATTGCTGTTTACATGATAGACACAATGAAAGTATTGTCTTAATCGGATTATTGGTGTCCATATAAACGTGCTTAATCAAAATGTATAGGATCAATTTATCACGGCATTCAGTGTGAACACCGTGGAGGTTTCAGAAATGTAAAAAATGCTCTCAAAAATCATGATGTTTTTGACATCAGTCATGTACAGTAATAACACAATGTGATAGTCAACAGAGCCTATTTTGCAACAGCACTGTGTCCAAATGAGTCACATTTTGATCATATGGAAGAAGTAGGATAGTTATGAAATGTTATTTCTAAACTGTGTTTCTAAACACAAGATAAAGTGTTTGTCACGTCCATCATAATAAAAAAGCGGCTTAACACGGGTTATTGATTCATTCAGTGGTGATTTGAATATTGGATAAAAGCTTTTACATCAACTACTAGACAGTTGTTGATTCAGACCTGTTATTAGTGAGTGAATACAAAAATCTTCAAATCCCGAGTTAAAAATGGCCTGTGTAATTCTAAGAGTCGTAGAGGGAATGGTCATGAAAACACTGAGTCATAGCCTTTTTTTGGGCAAAAAAGCTCATAATAGGAAGAAAAATGATGTGAAAAGTATTATATGACCCCTTTTAAAGGACTCCGGTAAGGAAAGCTCACACCTCTTTCCTCCTTTCTTTTCATATCTCTGCTTTTATGGAGTGTGTACAGGGGATGAATAGAGTGTCATGAATGGTATCCGTGGCCTGGATTCCGCAAAGGCTTGGAGAGCTCTGCTGTTCGTCCGAGTGCATAGCCCTCCACTCTCTCTCAGCACTCTCTGGTTGCTGTTGCATATTTCAAGCACACAATGTAGCAGTCATGTATAATAGAATGCTATGAGAGCTTTGGCCCATGCTGTACGCCCCCATTTTTCAGCACACCGCTACAGTGCATGCTTTGCGTCGCCGTATGTGATCTGATCTCGACCGCAAGTGTGCCGTTATAGGTGTCTGCTACATCGATAGGCATCATGAAAATGTTTCAGTCGCTCAAAAGCCTGTGAATGTAAAGATAAGCATCGTAGGCGTACAGAATAGGGTTAGTGTTAGAATGTGTTTTGATATGATGCGGTGCTTGATTGTGTCTGCAAAAGTGCTCTTTGTCTGAGAGTGGACCCGTGAATAACTCTCCTCAGACATGAAAAGTTGACTGTGTGATTGCTCGAGGCCTTCACCGCATTATTCGGAGATGATTATGCCTTTTTCCTTTTCCACAAGGGGCCATGCAAAGAAAAGTCTGAGTTTATTTGCCTGCAGTTAAAAAGCGAAGCAGGTAAAAATATCATGTGTTATTTTTTTTTAAGTTCGTCTCTGCTCTTCCTTCCCTTTCTCTCATCTCCATTAGCCTTAATGTGTGTTTGACAAGTGGGGCGTGAATGTGTCAACTGATGTAAGTGACTTTTTTGCTTACAGCTTTGCTACGTGTTGCAACCCTAAAGTGAATCGGTTGTATTCGTGTTTATTCTTTAAATTTTGTTGCATAATATTAATTTTTGTCAGTATTTTTCTTATTTTTTTGCACAAGCACACACTCAAATGCACACCATCTCCATGGGGCGTCTGGCTTTTACATCATTATTTTTTCCTCTTGCAGTATGCCTGTGAAGTGAAAGCTCTGCTATGAAAAATTAAAAGCATATTTAGCTGCTGGGAGAGCTACAGAGTCCTCGGGCCATGCTGCTGTCTAAGCTCAGCTCGGTGGGTGTAAAAAGGGTAGGAGGGGGTCTGACAGACATGCTTTAAAGAGCTTTTGGGATTTGCATTATTTGGGCTGTATTACATTTGTGTGTGAGGAGTGTACTGTTGCTTTATACAGAAGAAGTCAGAATGATTAGCCCCCCTTTGAATTTTGTTTTCTTTTTAAAGCCTGTGCTTTACTTTTAGCATTGGAGTATATAGAAAATGTCCAACAAGAGAACTCTGTTATTTTTACAGACTCCAAATCATGCCTCAAGTGATAGAATCTACAAAAATGATCATCCTTTGATTGATAGTATTTTAACCAGTTCACCATCTACAAAATCAGTATTATCACATCATTTTTGCTGGGTTCCAGGACATGTTGGGCTTTCAGGAAATGAGCGAGCTGATGCAGCTGCTAAAGACGCTTTGAAGCAAGCGGTGAACAAATGTCAAATTCCTCCTGCATAGATGAGAACTTTTATCAACGTTTGCATTTTAAATAAGTGGCAAGAGGAGTGGGATGGATTGGAAAATAATAAATTACATGAAATCCAACCTGAAATCTCAAACAGAGTTTCAAGACATTTTAAGACTAGATTTGATCAAGTGATTTTAACAGATGTCGTATTGGACATACAAGATTAGCCCACGCCTTTTACTTAAGACCACACTCAACAACTCCCCTTACTGTAAAACACATTTTACTGGACCGTCCTGCTTTTAATGATTCCAGAAGACTTTTTAATAAAATGAACTCTCTTAAAGACATTTTTAGCAAAGTGACAACAGAAAAAAATTTAGAATTCTAAATTCTAAAATCTTATTTAACTTGTATATTCATTTGTTTGTTGTTCTTTATTATTTATTTATTATTGAAATGTTCTTGCCATGAAAATAGACTTGGTTGCTGACATTGCAATCAATAAAAGATACATATATACATTTTCTTTTTTAAATATTTCCCAAATATGTTTAATAGAGCAAGTAAAATTTCACAGAATGTCTGATAATATTTTTTCTTCTGGAGAAAGTCTTATTTGTTTTATTTCAGCAAGAATAAAAGCAGTTTTTAATTTTCTTAAAAACCATCATTATACAATAACTTGCCTAATTACCCTAACCTGGTTAGTTAACCTAATTAACCTAGTTAAACTTTTAAATGTCACTTTAAAGAAGTGTCTTAAAAATATCTAGTCAAATATTATTTACTGTTATCATGGCAAAGATAAAATAAATCAGTTGTTAGAAATGAGTTATTAAAACTATTATGCTTAGAAGTGAGTTGGAAACAATCTTCTCTTTGTTAAACAAAAATTAGGGAAAAAAATTTGGGTTGCTTATAATACTGATTTCAACTGTATATGGCTATATGAGATGAAGATGTTGTTAAATTTGAGCACAGTTACTGTGAAACACGCTTTTTTCGGACTTCCTCTTTCTTCACCTCATTCAAATCACGTGTGACGTGTAACCGAAAGCACCACATTAACAGGAAATTGGGCCACTTTTACTTCATCTGTGGTCTCGCATAATACCTCGGCGTTATCCCTGCAGGCCTTAGAGTGCTGAGTGTTGTTATTGTGGTAATTTAGAATTTTACACAATGTTGCTTGCTTAAGCCATAATACGATTTCTGCGGTTTTTCTGCTTTTGATTATAGAGAATGAGCTGCGCGGACTGTTTCTGCTGCAGTGATCATCATTATTAACCTCTGTTCTTATTCTCATTTTCTTTCAGATCTCTAGATGGTCGATTGCAAGTATCTCATAGGAAAGGTCTCCCTCATGTGATTTACTGTCGTCTGTGGCGCTGGCCAGATCTGCAGTCTCATCATGAGCTCAGAGCCATTGAACTCTGTGAGTTTGCCTTTCACATGAAGAAGGACGAGGTCTGTGTCAATCCCTACCACTATCAGCGGGTCGAGACACCAGGTAAATCATACTAATATTCAGGCAAGCATGGACTACAAGTGAAATTACTATCACAGATGAAAAGGCTGAACTGTTAGTAAGGCCCTATGGTCTCTTGAATGATAAAAGCGACGACAGAATTGCAGGAACTAGTCATAAAAGTTGAATTTACTTTTATAACTATATGAATACATGAACTTTATTTATTGATCTGCGCATTAAAAAACTGTCTACATGCAGACATTTAAGCATCTTATTGACAATCTGTCAGACTTGTTTGTAAAGTTTGATTTAGATTCAGATATATAGGACTTTTACTGTTGTACTGTACAGTGGATTGTACTTCTTCAAGTAATAGTAATACGTTTTACAAATTTTATTTCTAATCATGCATTTTATTTTTACATTTTTATTGTAACAGGAATAAAACTTTGAATTAACTTTTTAAAAATACATTGTTAAAATGGAAAAATGCAATTATTGAGAAAAATGAAAAGCATTTTCTAAGGCCGTTCATTACAGCTTACTTTACCAGTCTGTGAATGCTCGAAAAATAATAACCTGTTTGCCCGATGCAATATACAAACTAGTTTAATGTATGGAGCAATGAGAGGTTCTTTTTATGTTATTAATATATTTGCTTAAAAAAAAGGGCAACATTCTTGTTGCTGTAGAGTTTCATGCGGTGTTATTAACAAAACGGTTTTCAGATTTATTATCTATTGAGACTGGTTATCTTTAACCTATGGTATCGACTTTATATTGGTACTGGGGTGTTATTTGGGTATCGTATTGAAGTCAAAGCTGTAGTATTGAGCCACATCTATCCCAGCTCCATCATTTCAATTTCTTTCCAGACTCTCTTTGGTCCCGTCTGAAAAATGGCTAAAACATTAAACAAGTGCTTTTGTGTGCTCTTCTTATCAAACAAACGTTATAATGACCAGCATGTTTAGCATTAATAGTAGTAAGCAAAGTGCTAAAAATTGTGCAAAGTATTTTTTGTTTTTGTTATCTTTTTTTTCTTTTCTTTTGTTTTAAATTCTCAATCATTTTCTTTCTCTCTCTGAAGTTCTTCCTCCAGTGCTGGTGCCTCGACACACTGAAATCCCCAGTGAGTTTCCTCCTCTGGATGACTATAGTCACTCCATCCCAGAAAACACCATTTTCCCTGCCGGCATCGAACCCCAGAGCAACTACATACCAGGTAGATGACAAATACACACTAGTACAGCATTACTGGAGAGGAATGGGGGAGTTGAGTTTCATAGTTTTACAAAAACAGATCAGACTTAAAGGCAAGTGAAAAATCAAAACGGAGAGGTGTAAAGTGGCATTAAAATTATTAAATCGTCATCAGTTATTTTTTTTAATAACTTAATTTTTATAGATTTTTTTTGGGGAACATATAACATTTGGAACATGGCCACCTTATTAGGTACACCTTACTAGTACCGGGTTGGACCCTCTTTTGCTTCTTTCTCTTTTTACTCTCTTTTGTGACATAAATTTAACAAGGTACTAGAATATTCTTCAAAGATTTTGGTCCATATTGACATTATAGCATCACGCAGTTGCTGCAGGTTTGTTGGCTACACATCCATGATGCTAATCCCCCATTTCGCCACATCCCAAAGATGCTCTATTGGATTGAGATCTGGTTACTGTGGAGGCCATTTGAGGACAGTGAACTCATTGTCATGTTTAAGAAACCAGTAACTGTTGCCTTTCTATCAGCTTAAACCAGTCTGGCCATTCTCCTCTGACCTCTGACCTCTGGCATCACAAGGCATTTGTGCCCACAGAAGTGCTGCTCACTGCATATTTTCTCGCTTTCTAACCATTCTCTGTAAACCCTAGAGACAGTTGTGCGTGAATACCTCAGTTGATCAGCAGTTTCTGGAATACTCAGACCAGCCCGTCTGGCACCAACAACCATGCCACATTCAAAGTCACTTAAATCACCTTTCTTCCCCATTCTGATGCTCTGTTTGAACTGCAGCAGTGGCCGTCTACATGCCTAAATGCATTGAGTAGCTGCCATATGATTGGCTTATTAGTAATTTGCGTAATTGAACAGTTGGATAGGTGTACCAAATAAAGTGGCTATATAAAGTGGAGTATAATTGTCATAATTTTTTTTTCAAACAAGAAACTTTTTAAGCTATTTTAGTTATTTTTATTATTGTATTTATTTATTTATAAATTAGAAATTAGCAATTTTCTGCATTTAGCATTTTCTTTATTAAATAAATGTTTTTTTAACACTATTAATCGAGGAATCCTGAAAAAAATCATTGTAGTTTCCAAAAATGTTAACAACAATTTGCATCTTTGATATTAAGACATGTTTCTTATGCACCATTTCTGAAGGGACTTTAGTGTAAAATAATGGCACACATCCATGTCATCAAACATGCACACGTGAAGGCTTAGCTGTACGCACAAAGAAAATCAAACTCTATCATAGACAAAAACAAACAGCCATTGTTACACATTTTAATCCCATCTACTGTACAGGCCTGATCTCTTTGGCCAGTTGACTTTGTGTAAGGTGGACTATGGCATTGTTGCTTATGGGATTTATAGGACTAATGAAGAAACGTTTAACCATTGTTGCATTGGGCTGACACAAAATAATTACACCCAAGTGATTTAAAGACTACTTTTGGCTACATATGGGGAAGATTATCCCACAGAGTCTGTATGGAGTGGCTTTGACTGGGATTAGTTTCATCTGAACGGTATTTGCTTTAGAGAGGTTAGAGTCTGTTACTGTAAAAGGGCGATGTGTGTGTGTTGTTTCATATCCTGCCGCTGAAACTGAGCTGACCCCAGCTTTCTAAATCAGGTGTCTTAATCTGAGGGTGAAAAATAAAACCCTTGTGCGATGTTGTCTCTGCTGCACCTGCTAGTTTTTTGCCGGATGTGTTTGTGGTGTTTCTAATCCATCATCCATCAGCTGGGTCACTGTGTGATGGGTGTGTATGCTTTGTGTGCTCGCAGACTGACTTGTGTTTTTGTGTGTGTCTTACAGAGACGCCACCTCCCGGCTACATCAGTGAGGATGGAGAAACCAGCGATCATCAGATGAACCGGAGCATGGACACAGGTGACAGATTGCTTTCTTTGGTTGATATTTTGAATTTTCATGAGAAGCTGTTCTATGTTTGTTTGTTTTGGTAACATTTTAGTTGCATCACTTTTCCTTATTCTTTTACTTTGAAAGGAATGGAAGTTAAATGTTTGTCTGTGCCCTCTGAAATGACTTAAAATGCAATCAAAAGGAATTTAATTAATGTGTTTGTGCTGGATACTTAGTCAATATGTTGTTTTCTTTTCAGGTTCTCCAAACCTGTCACCAAACCCTGTGTCTCCTGCCCACAACAATTTAGGTAACACTCATTGCTTGTATGTGTACACTACCTGACAAAAGTCTGGTCGTCGATCTCATTTGTAAGAGCAACAAATAATAATCTCTAATAATAATTACTTCTAGTTGATCAGTTGGATAAGTGTCAGAAGGTAGATTTTTCAGATGAATCATTTGTTGAACTGAAACCCAATCATCATAAATACAGCAGAAGACCTATTGAAACCCGCTTGGACCCAGGATTCTCACAGATTCTCATGGTTTGGGGTTACATTCAGTATATGTGCATGCAAGAGATCTGTAGAGTGAATGTTCACATCAACAGCCTGAGGTATCAAGACAGGAGATTCTTCAGCAGGATAGCGCTCCTTCTCATACTTCAGCCTCCACATCAAAGTTCCTGAAAGCAAAGAAGTAATCTAGAGGCCTTTGCCTTTCAAATAAGCCACTTCTGATACCAAATGATCAACTAGAAGTCAATATATTATTTGTTGTTCCTAAAACTTGGATAGGCAACAAGACTTTTGTATGTTATATGGACCATTTTGGACAAATAAAAATGTTACTTCAAGTGTTTTCTGAAAACAAATGATTCTCCAGCATTTCAAAGAGCTTTTCTTTTGTTCACCATTTTTACTAATTGCTTTCAATAAACTAGCACAGTTGTGTTTGGATTGTTTGAAGCTACAATTATACTCACACAAATGTCTTACCAGAGTTACCACTGGGGTTGTTTGATATATTAACTGGAGCATTTAATTATGGTGTGGTCAAGTCATCTTAAAAAGATCGCATCAAGCCAGCATTTCCTAAAGGCTATGTATTGATGATAGATTTTATTTTTTATAAATGAATGAAATATATATATTTTTTAGCAATTGCAATTAAAATGATGTACTGTGTTAGTTAAATCTACAAAACACTATTTATTGCATTGTATGATAACTATTGAATATATTATAATTTAGGTTATAAAGCACCTTGGTGAATTTCTTGAAAAAAAAAAATGAAAAAAGCTGATGCACATTTAATCTGCATTTTGTAGATATAGAGTTAAAAATCTTTTTATGAATTCTGTTGAAAAAGGTACATTGCCACCTTAGTCAATCCGAAAACTATGCAGAACCTGCTAAACTCATAGATGGACACTTCCGAATCTAACTTTAAATACACCAAACATGATTGTCAGCGTCAAAATACTGTAAATTTAGTCCTGAATAAGGTTGTCAGATTATCAAATGTTCACCCCATGATTGTCATTGAAAGAATTCAATATTAAGATTTCCACACAATAATGGAATTCTTGAATATATCTAAACAAATACAAAATGCTTAACAGTTAAATATTTAACTGTATTTTATCTTATTCTGCCATAATAAAATTAAACTCATAATAAAAGTGTTTTGAGAGAGAGAGTTTGTAGCATTGTAACCAAAAACAACTGCTGACTGAGGTGTCTAAGGTGCTTTCACACCTATAGATTAAATATTTTTTACCGAAACAGGGATTTAAATAGTTACATTATTGCTTTTTAATTTTGATCTGGTTTGCTTTTACGCTTGCAACATTTGTGAATGGACCAAAATTAAAACAAGTAACATGCAAGTAAACTCTCCACACATTGGTCAGTTTGGTTTATTTTCCGGGATTCCACTCAGCTCTCAATATTTTAATGTATGATGATGAGAAATGAGAAACTTTATAAGCGAAAAGAAGCTGCACTTTTATTTTGAATGGTGACACCCACAGTGTTCACAAATGCCCACACGAACTGAGCTAAGGGGGCAAACACACCAGGTTTTAAAAAAACAAACATCTTGATGTGAAAGCACCCTAACACTCTCTTTATGTAAAATACACTACTGACCAACAGTGTTGCTTCAATCTGCAGAATCACAGCTAGAAAATATGCCATCTGAGCTTGCAATTAGAATTTAGTAGTACAAGTCTGGCTGCTGTAAATTGATACAAAATTGGTAGACAGTCTGCATACCTTTGCTATGCAAAGACCTTGCAGTTTTTTTGTTTGTGTAAAGATAAACAAACATACAGTATAGCACAGGTGCTGTTAAATGACTCGTGAACTACGGACTCATATGAGGTGTTTTTTATTCAATCTGAAAAAACAAAGATCAACCTTGAACTAATAATGGTCTGAATCAGTCTGGTTCACTAATTCAACTCATTGCTTACCTTGTCTAGCTATAAATGACCCAAGAACTGTTATGTGAGACCTAGGTTAGTAAATGCTGACTGCGCATATTTAGAATAGTTCGACAAACTATTTGTTGATGTGTGCTTTCAATTTCTCAGAAGAAATAGATTGTTAAATGTCCCCAAAACAACTTTGATGAAAACCACCCACACTAAACATCCTGTTCATCTTAGCAAGGGAGGGCTCACAATTCCCTATTGTACCAGATTGGACTTCTGCAGATCCCACATGTGATTTCTCCACAGTGGTGTGTGTGTGTGTGTGTGTGTGTCACAGAGAATGGCCATTGCCATAAGCCTGTAATTTTCTAAGGTTTTACATCTAAGTGATGGCATTTCCCGATTCAGCCTTTATTTCTGGGAAGTAACATTTGCTCTTGACATCACAGTGTCGTCAGTTTCCAGCCCCCATGTCTCTTCAGGGATCCCAACCCATTTGTTTGTTTTTCCTCTTCCTGTCTTTTTTTCATCCGTGTTTCTTTCTATTTTTTCCCACTGCTTCTTTCTATGTCTGTCTGTGCCTCGCTGATTCTCATTTTAAATTGCTCTTTTTTTTCTCTCTCTTTTAGATCTCCAGCCAGTGACATACTGTGAACCAGCATTTTGGTGCTCTATTTCCTACTACGAATTGAACCAGCGAGTAGGAGAAACTTTCCATGCCTCACAGCCCTCTTTAACAGTAGATGGCTTCACAGACCCGTCCAACTCAGAGCGTTTTTGTCTCGGCCTGCTGTCCAATGTGAACCGAAACGCTGCTGTGGAGCTCACACGCAGACACATTGGTACACACACATTTGTCTCAAATACCTATTTATAACACAAACTGATTTAAAATGGCTTTTACTTATAGTAATGTATTTGATTTCCTTACTTATGTGACAATCTTGTGTTTTCGCAGGCCGGGGTGTGCGCTTGTATTACATTGGTGGTGAAGTGTTTGCAGAGTGTCTAAGTGACAGCGCCATTTTTGTTCAGAGTCCCAACTGCAATCAGCGTTACGGCTGGCACCCTGCTACTGTTTGCAAGATTCCACCTGGTGAGATAAAACTAAAGACTCTCAATGAACAGCTTTCAAGATAAAACAAGGGACCCTCTGTGAATAACTATCATCAACAGAGAATCTACTAAGTTCATGAATAGTTAAATTGAAAAAGGGAACCGAGTCATTAATGATGGTTCCTTGACTTTGGCCGGGTTTTCATCCTAACGTGAAGTGAAAGAAGAAAAAAAATAACAGATGTAAATTAGGTCAGTTTCCATCAAGCTTGTAGAGCGGCCAACATAGTGACCAAAAGTAAACAAGGCACGCATTATGAGGGTGTAATGTTTGCTACGCCCGATGGGTTTCTACTTCAAGTGAGCATAAAAAAGTTTTTGCAACATTTTAAGATTTGCATCATTCGTTTCTCATGTGATACTTCAGAATGTGCATTAACAAAATGGAGATAGAAACCCAGCTATTGTGCAAGACAGTGTTGGTATAATTAGTTAGAAAGTAAAAATAATAGTAAGGGATTACTTTTCATTTTCAGGTAATTTATTTAGTTACTTTTACGGGTGTGATGAAGTGCTAACTCCATGAAATGAGACATGAAATTGGGTTTACGAGACGACTATATACAATTTTTTGGAATCCTCAATGATGAAATATATGAATGAAAAATAGTCTTTTATTCAACTGAAGAAAAAAAATCACAACATGCAAAACTATTTAGTTGCTTATTAAAAAAAAAACTTGTAATGAATGTTATTTTACTTATATTTTAATGAATTATGCCATAAAGGACATGCAAACCCTGCAAAATATTAAATTTGATACCGCAGGCCGAATTAAAAGAAAACTTTGAAGGGTGTGTTGTGTCTCCAGGAGTTTACTTTGTGTAAAGCACTTAATTTGCAGTTCTAATCCAATCTTGCCTCTAATCTTCAGTGCTAAATTCACCCACACGCTCAACCATAACATCGCAACTAACAAGACAACTTTTCACCTCAAATAGAAATCTCATTGCGATTTAATCTCATGAGATCTTGTAGCCTGAGATCTCGTCACAACCCTAGTTACTTACAATATACTTTCCTTTAATAGTGAAAATAAAATCAGCTGTTCTGAATAAATCAATTCAGGCAAGCAAAGTAATTGTGTTTTTCTCATACAAATATAGTTTACAGAATAATTAAATTTTTCAACTAAAGAAGGTTATATTTATTAAGACAGTTGCACATAATAACAAATTGAGTGAGAAATTAGTTCATGAAAATATAAGGTATGAATAAAGAGAAGTAGAGTAATTGTGTGCTTTTGCTTGATAACTCGATTTTTCAACTAAAGAATGTTCGATTCAGGGTTGTCACGATATTGTAATTCGATACTGATCAAAACGTCCATTTTCTACTAACATTTAAGCAATGTGGAGCTAAAACAGCGCTGATTTGCCATTGTTTTCATGTGTTCAACAGAAATGACTGTGGTTGGTCATGAAGGTCATTAGTTCACCGAACTCACCGATGTTTATTAAGTGTAAACTGGAGTGTTTCAAAGTGACGTCAATAAGCTGGTATGTCTATAAGCTGACATACGAGCAGTCCACAGTTGAATCGCGGCTTTAAAATGGTCCAGTGCTCCTGTATCTGTGTTCACACTCAGTAAACAGCTGTGAGTTTGGTGAACTGATGACCTTCATGACCAATCACATTCATTTCTGTTGAGCATGTGAACACAATGGCAAATCAGTGGTGTTTAAGAACATGTTCAAAAGCGCTCAAATGTTTGTGGGAAACGTACGTTTTTAAAATTGATTAGTATCAAATTCCAGTATTGTGACAACACTAGTTTAATTTGTCCAACAATTTTAATAAAAATCTTTGAATTAAAAAAAAAATTGTTGTTTTATTTTTGTATTGATCCATTTAATGTTAAATATTTTAAATGTTAATATCTAAAAAAAAAGGTCCTGTTTGGCTCAGATTAAAAAGTTTAATTTCAATTGTCCATTAATGCGGTAAGACTTATATGAATATTTAGTAGTACCGAGTCAAGTAATTAAATTACCTTTCAGACAAAGTGACTGCAAAAGTAATTTAAATATAATTTTACTGATGTGATTAATTAATTACTTTTTTGAAGCAACTAACTCAACACTAACACCAAATCAGTTTAGCCGTTTTAGTTTGTTATTGATATATGAACTTTGCTTTGTGTCCATCCAGGCTGTAATCTGAAGATCTTTAATAATCAGGAGTTTGCAGCCCTGTTGGCCCAGTCTGTGAATCAGGGCTTTGAGGCTGTATACCAGCTCACACGCATGTGCACCATTCGCATGAGCTTTGTGAAGGGCTGGGGAGCCGAGTACAGGTATGATTTCTGAAATTACTTCCTTCTTATCTATCATCTTGCCTACCACTCCTGGAATGTGGCCTTGATTTAACTCAAAGACTTTTACCTCACTTGTGAAGTGGTGTTACCCAAAACCACAGAAACCTCTTTTGCTTCCTGTTAAATTCTTTGATTTCTGATTTGTCGTAATCAGTTTTTGTAGAAAGTAGCTGTTGAATAATAAATGGAATAATTGTAGTAATTGTTTTTGCATTTAGATTGCTTTAATTTGATTTCAATGGTAGAACTTGATTAGGTCTTAATATTAGCAGTGCAACAAATTAATTTTGGAAATTACTGATAATTCATAGGCTAGTGTTGATAACTGATGATGGTTGATAAACAGATATTCTTAGAATGATTATAGTACTGAAGATATGTCATGGCATTACGTGTTACATGTATTTAAAAAAAAAAAAAAAAATATATATATATATATATTCACTGAATATTTATTTCCCAAAATAATTATCTAAACAATCTAAACTAATCAAGGTGCATTTGATGATGTGAGATGTAGAAATAAAGTGAAAACTAACATCTGTCAACAACAAAAAAATACTTTTTATGTGGAAAAATACTTCATATAATATGTACATTTACAGAACATGTTAATAGTTTTCTCTACAAATTATTCAGGAACCTTTCCCATATTGCTCTCCAAAAGCACTTTAAATTCTTAAAATTAACCACATGGATTTAGCTAGATCGATATTAGACTTATCAGAAAAAGGCATACAAAGTCTTTCAAATGGCAATATTGACGGTTCTTTTGCTGCTTTTGTTTTCTAAAAATCTTCTTGGGTCATTTCAGTCAGCCTCATGTTTTTGGTTTAACTTTTGCCGACAGAGATGACAGCAGACAATAATGGATGACTGACTTGCTATACAGTATATATACAGTGTATAACACAAATGCTCTAGTGTTTTGTTTTTTTGATACAGTGTTTTGACATTTAAATGGAAAATCTTACTGTTGTTCTGTATCTCCCTCTTTCAGATATAGCATTAAATAAGTATTTACCAATGATAAGTAGTTAGTACTGGTAAAAATAATTTCTGAAATATAATTAATGTTAATGAAAATAAAATCTTCATTTAAGTTATCAAAATAAACTTGTGTTTAAGTGAGCACCTTCAAAGATAATCTGAATGTAAAAATCTGTGAAATATTGAAATATTCAGCACACTGTAAAACACAACAGTCAACTTTGTCAAATGAAATGAGTGTAGTTAACTCAAAATCTACTGAAAGTTTATTCTACTCATTTGAAAAGAGTTTTGAACTCAGTGTTGAAAGTAATGAAGAAACCACATTTCTTAACCTTAAATTTAGTAAGTTCACAGTACTCATATAGATTAGTTTTTTTTTAACTCAAATGGTTTGTAGCAATCGGTTTTCTCAAACAGTTTGAGTTGCCTTAACTTTTAGGGTTTTACAGTACTCAGTTGGTTTGAGTTCTCTTCATTTATTGGGTTTTACTGTGCTCAAATTGCTTCCTCAAATAAAGTAAGTTCACAGTGCTCATTAGGATTAGTTAATAAACTAAAATGGTTTGTTGCAATTGGTTTCCTCAACGCTTTGAATTACCTTAGCTTTTTAGGTTTTACAGTGTAGTGGTCAATATTGTAGTACCATATTGGTATTTTAGTACCAATATTGACAGTTTTCATGACAGTCAGAAATGATTAACCAAAAATAATCATCAGCTTATTGGTATGAGCCAGAATATTTTGCACCCCCTAATATCCAGCATAAACTGATTTTGATGAAGTAATGGCTATTTCAGCAGATGACATCAATAGTGTTGACAGAAGCTGATAATAAAGGAAGCTCAAGCAATTTTAGAACAATAGGAGGGAATGTCTGAGTTTTTTTTTTTTTTAGTATGCAGTTGTATCAAGTCCTGCAGGGTCAGACCGGCTGTGGTAACTATTCCTCCCACTTTGTCCTGCTCTGGTGAAGAGCAACTCTGATGTAGCAAGACAATCTGGTGTCCACCAGCTTAGTATATCAGTCATATAAACTGTTAGGTCTGCGCTGGCAAATCATTCCATACCAAACCAACTCACACATGGTGCGCTTGAAAACATCTCCGAGATTTTTGGGCTCCTTCTCTCCCACTCATGCTTTTGTGAGTAACTTCATTGTTTGAGCCCATGAAACCAAGACCCTAATCAGAAGCAGTTGTGGGTTCTGACCAGGGAACATCTGTAGAGAAAGTTTGAGGATTGAGTGGTAAAAGGAGTAAAACTGCTTTGAGAGAGAGTGAGACTGCTTTCCAGACAGCCTGGCGTGTGGAGACCCAATATGAGCTGTGTCAGGTTTCAGTAGACACCCACACACTCACTCTCTCTCTCTTACTCTCTCCCTCTCTCTCCCTCTCTCTCCCTCTCTCTCTCTCTCTCTCTCTCTCTCTCTCTCTCTCTCTCTCTCTCTCTCTCTCTTTTCTCTCCCTCTCCCTCTCTCTCTCTCTCTCTCTCTCTCTCAGTTCAGTTCAATTCAATAATTGCTTTATTGGCATGACAATTGTTACAAATGTATTGCCAAAGCAGTTATAAAGTTTACATAAAAAGTAACATCCATATGTAATAAAAAAAACAGTACACACAGTAAATAGTAGTAGCAGTAAAAAAATAAATAAATAAAAGAAAAAAATGACATTTATATAAAATAATTAAATAAAATATCAACAATATATCATATTATTCAATATATCACATTAATATTCAATATATTATATTATTATTCAACATTAATTATTCACACAAATCAATACAAAAATAGATCAGAATAATTTTTTTACGATATAACAGTAATAAAAACAATAATAATCAGTATATTTACAATGATTCATTTATAATCATCTAGATGTGTGTGTGTGTGTGTGTGTGTGTGTGTGTGTGTGTGTGTGTGTGTGTGTGTGTGCCTCTTTCTCTCTCTCTCTCTCTCTCTCTCTCAATTAAATTAAATTTTATTAAAAAAGCTATATTGGCATATTTTGTTAAGTCTTGCCAATGATGACATAAACTATGAATAAAATTTTAAAGTGATTATATAACACATATATATATATGCATACACACAATTAACATGATATGAATGTTTATGAATAAAAAGATAATGAAAGAGATAAAATATTATTATTATTTGAATTTAACAAAGCACAATACACATATATGCATCTCTTTCCCACAGGGAATTTACTTGAATTAAAATTGAAATGTTTTGTGAACTAAGCCAAAGACTAGAATTCACAAGACGTGTCGCCCTGCCATCTAGTACAGAAGCCAATCATTGATCGCTATAGACCAGACATGAGTTTCTGCAGATTTTGTGAATGGAAAGTTTACAAAATGAAACTAAAGACACAGTTGTTGTTCCTTTTTATTGTTGATTCCTAATATGAAATTTAATCGTAAGCTTGTCAAACAGTTTTGGAAAATTGGATGTTTCCCCATTCAGACGTCTGCATCACCATATGTGGCATAACAATAGTACGTCTGTTTGGCTGTAACTGTTTTTGGACCACACTTCATTATTATTGTTAATTTATTAGTTTGCTGGAACTGAATTTAGAAATAGTTTTGAAACAAATAATTGTGCATAACAAGCAAAATAAATATTTAGGCTAATAAATGTCTTCAGTGGAGTATGTACAACATCGTTTCCTTATCCACGAAAGTAAAGGACTTAAGTAAAGAGTAAATAAAAGTAAAGTAAAGAGAAACTATAAAGACTAAATGGAGGGGGCTTGTTCTTTATCCTCGCGCAGATGGTCTGTTTAACTGTTTTCTCACTAGTGAAGCATTCAGTTTTTCCATTCAGTTTTTCCTCTTACAAAATCTGCGTTGTAAATAGCAAATGCGCCATGACGCAACACAACTGCCTCTTAAAGAGAATGGGAGATGAGATTCTGATTGATTTAATGCACTTTATGCTCAAAACACATCCATAATAACTCATTAAGAGAATAAGCACAACCCTGTTAGACCATGCGCTATGGCGCAAACCATATTTTTCCATCCTTAAAATAATAAAAGTGGATTCGGACATGCCCTTGATGATTTTGTGCCATGCACTTTAGACTTTGCGCTTAGATTGTTAAAATATAGCCCCTAAGCTGTTCTTTCTCTCTCTTCCTTTCATACCTCTCCTCATCTCACAACCTTCAGACCCTTCTCTTTGAGTGCTGCAGATGCTTACTTTGATGTTTAAACAAGCTATTTGAACACTTTATGTTTTGATCCTGTGTTTCAGGGCCCTCATGACGTACTTTGACCACTACACTGTTTTTCATTTCTTCTTGTTTTGTTTTTATTTTCCGTTTTCTCTTCCAAATCCTGACATTGAAAGTTCTTTGAATTTAGACCTTTGGAGTTTAAGAAGAGCTTTTCCTTTCCACTTTCTCACTCCTACTCTTCTACTTACTTTCCAGTACTCCATCTCCTTTTCTCTGTCAGTAGACTGTGTAGGCTAGCCAAGGCTGCCTTCATAAACACTCAGGGGTCTGTTCATGGTTTTGCTGTCAAAGAATGAGACACTCAAAGAATCAATGCAAGAAGTTGCATGGAGATAAAACCAGTAGGCACTGTCAGACATATTGTTGGATAAAGCTGTCTTGAAAAATATGGTTACATTGCACAATGCAAAACAATATGAAAGCAGCAGAAGAGTTGCCAATTTAAGTGAAACTTAGTGGTAAAAGCCAAAATGTTCTCTAGATACTCATTTCAAATGCTAATTTTTAATTTAAATACATATATTATAGATACACTTGCAATTTAAAATAATTTAGTTCTATTCAGTATGAATTGATCTTAAGTGATGGTAGAAGGAAACATTTATTTAAAATTGATGTTTTAAAATGATTTATATTACTGCTTTTGAACTTTCTATTCATTAAAAGATTATTTAAAAAATATGATATAAAATATGATAGGAATAAATGATGTTGTAAATATATATATAAAAATAGAAAAACTAGTATTGGAATATTTTAAGTGCAATATTATTTAATAGAATTTCTTTTATACTGTATTTTTGCACAAAGTGATCACAAAAAATTCTAAAATATATATTAAAAACTTTAGGTTAGAGTTCAATCAAAACTACTATAACACAAGGTTTACTGTTGAGCTATATTTAATTGACATGCTCAAGATTTATTTACAGATTATAAAGTTTTATCAGGTTGTGTCAGGCTAAAGAATCATGCATTAAAGTGAACTGTATTATTTCCTCATTGAAGAAGTGAGTTATGTAGAAAATGTAAGATTCAGTAGACTTACACAGGGTGTGTGCGTGTGTGGTTGTGGATGTGTGTGTATGTGTGTGGGTGGCTGTAAGGGGTTAGATGATGTCCCAGAGCACCATGAGGCATTGTGAACAGAGGTTCTGGGACTAAGTCTGTTCACGTGTGTATGTGAGCACAAGTGAGGGGAGCTGAGACAAGTGTTGTGTTAAGCACTGTGGAATGTAAAAGAAGTGTGTTTGGCAGCAAGTCCTGTTCCTATGAGGGACCAAAGAAAAGCAAAGCAGAGCAGAGATTTCATATCCAGACAAACTGGTAAACTCTGTGGCAAAATTGTATCTTGCCAGTCATTCACTGTAAAGGATGTGAGTAGGGGATTTGTTTAGAATCTATACCTTCTTGAAAATAAAAATGCTGTGCAGGAATGTACAGTATACTTCTTGAAAGTTTTTTTTTTCCGTTTTTGTTTTTGGCAGGTGTTAAAGGAAAAAAAAGTGAAGACAAACAAGTCTTTGAAAGTGCTTGAATGAAACTAGAATTTTGTTGGACTGATTTACAGTTCTTTCAGCTCAATTCTTTGTCCACTGAGAGGCAGCCGCTTTTCAGCGCTCCTATGTGTATTTTTAGTTTCTTTACTATGTTTTTTGCAGCATTGAGTGTTGTATTCAATCACCGGCATGCTTTTTAAAATGAATGGCCAGTCACAGTCATTCACTGGACCTAGTCAAAATTTTTGTGTAGCGCAAGTTAGCTAAATGTTATGCGTTTTTGTGTCATGACATAAAGAGCGCACTCTTTGCTTGATTCTTGTTTACAATCCATTGAATGTTTTGTTTTGTCATGCTTATAAGAGGACCAATGGAGAAGTAATGCATTCAATTGAGCGGATCTGCTAAATTGTATGGTGAATGATACTAAATTTGCTGTGACTGACACAATAACTATAGCAACTTGTGGAGCAAAACATCTGACCAGCCTGTGCCAAAATAGACGTGTGCATTAAATGTCCTTTTGTAATTTAATAATAATAATAATGTAATGTATATTTATATAGCACATTTATTGTGTATGGTCATACACCCAAATTGAGGGGGGTCTCTCCACACCAACACCAGTGTGCAGCATTCACTGAGATCACAGGTGTCAAACTCCGTTCCAAAAGGGCCGCAGCTCTGCACAGTTTAGTTCCAACCCTAATTAAACACACCTGATCAAACTAATTGAGTCCTTCAGGCTTGTTTGAAACCTACAGGTAAGTGTGTTGGAGCTATGTTGGAACTAAACTGTGCTGGGCTTCGGCCCTCCAGGAATTGAGTTTGACACCCCTGACTTAGATGATGCGACGGCAGCCACAGGACAGCGGCACCAGTGCGCTCACCACACACCAGCTATAGATGGAGTGGAGAGACAGTGATAGAGCTAAGTCAGTGGATAAGGATGATTGGGAGGCCATGATTGTAAGTGCCGATTGAATGACTTTGGCCAGGACAACGTTTACACCCTTACTTTTTACGAGAAGTGCCATGGGATTTTTAATGACCACAGAGAGTCAGGACCTCGGTTTAACATCTCAACCTCACTGACAGTACAGTGTCCCCTTCACTTTTACTGGGGCATTAGGACGTCCCCTGCTGGCCTCTCTAATACCACTTTCAACAGCAACCTAGTTTTTCCTATGTGGTCTCCCATACAGGTACTGACCTGGCACAGGTCTGCTTAGCTTCAGTGAGTAACCGGTCTTAGGCTGCATGGTGATATGGCTGTGTCAATAATAATGATAATAATAGGCAACGCGGTGGCACAGTGGGTAGCGCTGTCACCTCACAGCAAGAAGGTCACAGGTTCGAACCCCGGCTGTGTGGAGTTTGCATGTTCTCCCCGTGTTTGCGTGGGTTTCCTCCGGGTGCTCCGGTTTCCCACACAGTCCAAAGACATGTGGTACAGTTGAATTGGGTAGGTTAAAAATTGTTCATAGTGAATAAGCGTGTATGGATGTTTCCCAGTGATAGTTTACAGCTGGAAGGGCATCCGTTGTGTAAAACATATGCTGGATAAGTTGGTGGTTCATTCCACTGTGGGGACCCCAAATTAATAAAGGGACTAAGTCGAAAAGAAAATGAATGAATGAATAATAATAATACATTTAAACTAAGTGGTTAACTCAAGTGCTGGTTTTTGGTCTTATTTATTTGTTTTGTAAATGTTCATTGATCTTATTGACATGAAATGTTGTGACTTTTTCTACACTTGCTTCATACTTAAGTGCTTATAACTTAAATTGGCAAATGTGCTTATCATTGGATGCTGGATAAGTTGGCGGTTCATTGCACTGTGGCGACCCCGGAATAATAAAAGGACTAAGATGAAAAGAAAATGAATGAATGAATGAAATGCTTAAGCCATAACTTTAATTTACTGCAAAACTGATGCCTGTCACAGTCATATTTTCTCTTATAATGTTAATTATGTAATGATTTGTATAAACAAATTCAAGCAGCAAGAAATACATTTCATTTTTTGGAGCTTGCCTTTACAAGCATTCAAGCCAGCCCCTTTCCACTTCATTTGGCTTAAATAAAATCATATACCTTTCAGATTTTATTAAGTTAGGCTGTCTGTAGATGATTAGATTACACTGATCTGATGCAGTACATATATTTAAATATGGCTTAAGTGTATTCATAGTTTTGCACATTGTGTCGGCATTCTGATTTCTAATTATTTCTCTCTCTCTTTAATGGCGTCAGGCGGCAGACAGTGACTAGCACCCCCTGCTGGATAGAGCTGCACCTTAACGGGCCTCTGCAGTGGCTGGACAAAGTACTCACTCAGATGGGCTCCCCCTCCATCCGCTGCTCCAGTGTGTCATAGGAAGAAAAAAAGACTGCATAAACTCAACATATACAAACCACCAGATCTGGAAAAAGTTCCTTCAGGACTCAAAGGCTGGAGATTACAGACTCGGTAGCACTTTCACATGTGTTTGTTTCAATGTTGGAGACATTGTATTATTACAGTATATGTACAGTACATACTTGTTTTTTTATGTTATTGTTAGCCATTTTTATTGCCATGAAATATTGCCATTTATGATATATTTTGTTATATAGCATGTCTATGTGAGATATCTCTTCTCTGTCATGTCTTTTCTGATGCTGTTATGTTAGAATTACCATAACAGAGGCTTATTTTTTTAGAGGCGTGATAAAAAGTGCTTTTTTTGTAAAGTGTAGATATGTCGTTTTTACAAATTTCGGTTAAATCAAAACAACACAAATCTGGCCCAATGTATAATGTTGTCTAATACATATCAAGAGTTTGACATTCTTTAGTTAGGGATGGTTTACATAAAATGAACATTTTAAATCAAGTGAACATTTACTCAAACTCAAGTGGTTCCAAATTTTAATGGATTTCTTCTGTTGAACACAAAAGATATTCTAAGAAATGATGGGGGAAAAGTAGCCCTCATTCATTGTACAAATAAAAAAAAAAACTATAAAAATCAACAGCTGTTGTATCCCCTGCATTTATCTCTCTTTGTGTTTAACAGATTTAAGAAACTCAAACAAGTTTGGAACAAATGTAGAATGAGTAAACGATGACAGAAGTTTCATTTTTGGGTGAACTGTTTTAAGAAAGAAAGAAGAAAAAGAAAGAAACTCTTTGACTCATTTTTCTTTTTTTTTTTTTAGAATTCTACTCAAACATTGAATCCCCAAATTAATATCTGATACATATCAAGAGTTTGACATTCTTCTTGACGGGATACTTTACATAAAAATGAAAATTTTCAAATAATTTACTCACACTCAAGTGGTTCTAAACCTTTATGAATTTTGTCTTCTGTTGAAAACAAGATATTCTGAAGAATGTTGGTGGAAAATCAGCCCTTGACATTGACTGTACAAACAAAAAATACTATAAAAGTGAAGAGCTGTTTCGTTCCTACATTCTTCAGTATATCTTCTCGTGCGTTTAGCAGAAGCAAGAAACTCAAACAAGTTTGGAACAATGAGTGGATAATGAGTAAGCGATGACAGAAGTTTCATTTTTTGTCCCTTTAAAAAAGAAAGAAAGAAAGAAAGAAAGACTTTGAGTCCTTTTTCTTTATTTTAAGAATTCTGTTCAAACATTGAATCCCTAAATTAATGTTGAATACACATTAAAAGTTTGAGATGTTCTTCTTGAAGGGAAAATTTGCATAAAAAAACGTTTAAAAAAAAAAACGTTTTTACCTCTTTACTCACATTTGAGTGGTTTCAAACTTTTATAAATGGTTTCTTCTGTTGAACACAAAACAAGATATTCTGAAGAATGTTGGGGAAAATAGCGCTTTACATCCACTGTACAAACAAAAAATACTATAAAAGTCAAGAGCTGTTTTTCCGTACATTCTTCAGTATATCTTCTTCTGGTGTTTACCAGAAGAAAGAAACTCAAACAAGTTTGGAACAAGTGGAGAATGAGTAAACGATGATAGAAGTTTCATTTTGAGTGAACTGTCCCTTTAAAAGAAAGAAAGAAAAAATAAAGAAAGAAGGAAAGACAGTCTTTGACTTCTTTCTCTTGTTTTATAATTCTGTTCAAACGTTGAATCCCCAAACTAATATGGCTGATCAAGTTGTCCCTCAACGTTAAATGTTGATATCCAGATTTGTCCTAGGCACTGAACCATGCCTTCCAGCACAGAATACTTTATAACAAACATCACGCACAACAGTTTCTGTAACACTTGTGAACGTGTTATCTCTGTTATGTTTTTTGAAAAGAGGCTTTTGTCATTGTACCGAAGCTCTTCTTGGAGCAGTTCTCCAGCTCCACATGTACTGTATGTGTGCAGGTTGTGTGACTGTTCTGACCGTCCTCTGGGAGTATTTTCTTCAGGTCTAGTGTTGAGCTCAACTTTGTCTCCATTGACACAGCCATCTTTTCAGTGTAACAGGAGTGAATGACTGTGAATGACTGTATTATGGACTCTCACAGGGTTCATCACTTTCTATGTTGTCGTACTTTCATGCTTTTCAAATGAAGCGTATGAGAAGCTCTTCAAGGTCTGGCTAGGTCCCTCAATTGTCCTCTTCATGTAGTAGCAGATTCTGAAAACTCTGCACCAAGATGTTCATGGTCATCTGTGTCTGCTTACCAGCGGGTCTTCATGTCCTCTCCCAGAAATGAAACTGAGTGAGTGTGCCTTTGCATCAACTTTTCATAACAGAGTTTGTAAATAATATATTTCTGAGCAGGCGATTATGCATCAGGGCTGGACATTAAGGCTTGTCCACTTCAAGATCTTGATCTGTCCAACAGTAAACAGAAAACTGACAATACCCAAAACAAAAGAGAACATATTTGGTTAATGCAATGTAGCAGTAGCATTTTAATATCTTTCAGAAGAAGGTAAAGTTGGACAGAGTCAATTTATACATGCTTTCCAATAAACTACTATACTTTTTATCCATTACATTGCTTACTGGCCTAGCAGTGTCTTGCTCTCTCTTTTGGGTAAACATTGTTGAATTGACTGTAAACTACAAGAGATAAATATTTTTACACATAATTTGAAATGTTTCTCTCTCTCTCTCTCTCTCTCTCTCTTTCTCTCTCTCTCTCTCTCTCTCGCAGTATGTATATATATATATATATATATATATATATATATATATATATATATATATATATATATATATATATATATATAATTAGGGTTGTCACGATACCATTAATAAATCCTATGATACTATACTGGCTAAAGTATCTGGACACTAAGTAGTATTGCGATACAGTAATTTATATCTCAAATTATAAAGAAGTTTGTCAGAAATACTAAAAAATACTGAATATTTAATGTTATAATATGCCTACTTGAATGTAATTAAGGCCAAAAATTATTTTTTGCACCTCACTGCACCTAAAATGTATTCATTGTTTTTGTTTATTTTGTAGATAACTGACCAACAAAAATACATTAAAATAATGATACAAATTATACCAAATGAATTATTTACAAAAGAACATTCTTCCAACAAAATGAGGCAATCTGAGGTGGTCAAAAATAGTTTAAATGTTTCCTGTTGCTATTTTAGGGTTTTTCATAATTTTTTTTAGTCTTCCCAAGCAACAGACCAAAATAATTTAGATTTTCACTTTGTGAGTCGTTTTTTTGAGATATTGTTGTGGTCGCTAATAAATCATTAACAGAAATTAAAAAGATCTATCTATCTATCTATCTATCTATCTATCTATCTATCTATCTATCTATCTATCTATATCTATCTATCTATCTATCTATCTATCTATCTATCTATCTATCTATCTATCTATCTATCTATCTATCTATCTATCTATCTATCTATCTATCTATCTATATCTATCTATCTATATCTATCTATCTATCTATCTATCTATCTATCTATCTATCTATCTATCTATCTATCTATCTATCTATCTATCTATCTATATCAAGCATATATATGAATGACAAATTTATTCGTACTTTCTGAAATAAAGGTACAAAAGCTGTCTGTGTGGCATATGGTCCATGTTGATACCTTCAAAAGAGTACCTTTGTAAAAAGTACCACCACAGTGGCTGTTTTTGTACCTGTAAGTCAGTGACAGCAGCACGACAAAGCTTACGTTTAAGCCCTGATGCATTGAGTAAGTGGGTTGTCCAGGGTTGGGCCGCTCAGGGGTGTGATCTTTGTAAATATGTCTGATAAATGGATTATGCATGCCTATTTTCTGAAATTCATGCCATTTGTACTGTAGACTCTATTTTGCTACCAAATATTTTTTCAGAATGCTCTTACCTCTGTGTTTGTAAGCGTTGAGTAGGGGTGGGATTGGGGCTGTGTACTGCTGGCAGGTTTTTGTAATGTTAACCCTGTATTTTTATACGTCGGATGCTCGTAGGATATGGAGAAGGGCTTGATGAAGGGAAAGGTCACAGTGGGCTTTGTGAAAGCCAGATCATGTACTTGTGATCAGTGCTCTTTGCATGCCGTCTCAAATCTCTGGTCTCCCAAGGAATCATGAGAGAAAGTTGCGTTGACGGTAGAAAAGATGTCTGACATCTGCGTGCATTAATGTTCATAAGGACTGTTGTGTGCTTTAGACGCTCTATGACTTTACTTTGATAAAGTTATTGTATGAATTGGATTCCTTGAAATGCATTTGAAACCTCTTAATGTCATCCTGTATAGACAAAACAGAAGGTACTGGCATTATTCAGGAAATGATTTATTGTCTATAAGTAAACACATGTTTTCTTTGAGAGGAAAAAAAATCAAATCTCAAATTCTTTTCAACAAATTGTTGAATAAATTTTAAGTAATGTGCATTTATTGTGCTTGTGTTCAACTTTCACGTTCATCGACTTTGTGACTTAGTGGTGATTGTTGTGCTTGACATGTTAGATTTCTTCTTTGTACAAGTATATAATCTTTATCATAATTTCTCTTCATCTTTAAAGGTTGTCAAGAGAAACAATATTGTTTGTTATTGTTGTACTTTTAATAAATATGTAAATGAAAAAATGCTTTCTCTTTTGATTTTGTTCATGTACACACACTGTCTTGTTCTACTTATTTTATGACAATGCCATAAAAATGCAATGCTAGGATACAGATACATTAGCCTGGCCTGTGACCTAGCGCGTACATTTTTCACTTGCTGAAAAAATGAAAGCTTTCTTTGTTCAGAAGACCCTAAGGGCAGGGAGGCACTGGAATTTCGGTAAACCACACATACGTCTTCGCTAAATGTTTGTTTATCAGTAAACGGAGGTTAAAGAGTGGAACAACCTGCTCACATTGAAGTTGTCCAGGTGTTTAGTGACTTTAGTGAATCACCTGGTGCAAATGGTAAATGATGCATGGACCATAGATGTACATACATAGATGCCTCATTAGCAGCTGTTTGTATGGGCAGTTAGATGTAAGCTGTGCACCATATTGTAAAAGTCAAAGTCAGTCTGTGATTACTTTAGAGCAGGGCTGGATTTAATTATTAAGCGAGGTAAGCGGCCGCTTAAGACCCCAGGAAATCTTGGGGCCCCCAATAAATATCTAGAAGTATAAATTATACCTATAAACTATATATAACATTGTTTTTGATTGTATTTTGTATGGTGAGTCAAACTATTTAAATTGTAACGCAATTAAATATAATTTACTATAACTTAAAATATAATGTTATTATAATCATTTAATGTCATGTAATAATAATATTCAAAAATAAAATATTACATCTGCACAAATTTGTCCACTACCCTCATAGAGCGGTCCAACAGTCAAATTTTATATATATATATATATATATATATATATATATATATATATATATATATATATATATATATATATATATATATATATATACATTTTTAGTTGTAAATTAATTTTAAGGAAACTAATCATTTAAAAAGTAGAGATTGCATTAAGATAGAACATAGCTTATGTGATATTAAAAAAAAACATCTTAATAAATAGAAATTCAATATAAGTATAAAGCGTGCATTTTAGGACTGTTGGGCCCCACAATGTTCCTAAACACCATTAAAATGCGCTGGTTTTAACGGGTGTCAATTTTTTCTAATTATTCTTCTTTTGGAAACTTTAAGGCATCTGTGATAGCCTAGATTATAGTTTTTTTTTTTTTTTTTAGCAGAGGAATAAAAAAGAATTAAGATGTCTGTGAGATTATACTTTGCATAGGGAAAATAACATGTATAATTAATCACTTTAATTACATTTAGTTGCGTTGATTCATTTTGCAGCTCTAGTGGATTAGTTTACTCCGTATCAACTGAACTGTAAATAAACATTAAATTAAAGTAGAAAGAGTGCATTTTAAGACTGTTGGGCCCCATGGCTGGAACTGCTTAGGGCCCCAAATCACTAAATCTGGCCCTGCTTTAGAGCAAGATCATTCTTTAATCATAGTTATCCACTTGTGTGAATATCTATCATTTTAATTGTTTAAAATACTTGTGGACACTTTTTAATCCCCTCACACATGCATTCATCAACATGTGTCTGTTGTATTTGCTGTCTTCAGTAGTATGTTGTTCTTGTTCTCTTTTTTT